GATCCTACAAAGCTGGCTCTAAACCGTACAAAAACAATAAAGAGGTACAGACTGCCGTTCATAAGGAGCGGTGTACGAAGCTGCAGACAGGGAGAGCCCTCTCTGATTTACCAAAAACGCCATCAAATATTTTCAGTAGGCTGCCTCCGTATCACTCCCGCTGGCACAACATAAGGCCGAGCCGATTTCTAACTAAGACAACCGAAGCCACTTAGTTGATATTACATATTGACTAGGTTTAGTAATATACATACACCTTTGTCATGCACTGAATCAGACGATCTACAAATAGCCTTTGCATATAATTTATCTGGAGGAAATCAATCAAAACTCGTACCACGAAAGCCGTCATCTGGACCACACAACGCTCTTAGACCGAAAAGTCGAGCTTCTAAATGAATTCAACTCCTACTTAGTCGGAATTATGGTGGCTATACAAAATGTATGACATAATGGACCGAATAATGCTAACCAACTCTTTGCATTCTCACTAAAACTATGTAACTCATTTAACGCCAGAGTGGTGTCATTCAACTCTAAAGTAGGTATGAAAATGAGTTAAGGAATCTCTCTCCGCGATTGGCTCAAAAGTTTATGGCATTGACCACAGTCTGTTAATGTAGAACTAACTTTCTAAGGCGAAGATCCTTGCGGAAACTTTCGACGTAAGGGATATTTAAATAGTTTAAACTGAATATCTCATTAGTTGTATCGCTTTTCCAGTGATCGTTACTTCGTCATTATATGTAGCTAGTGATTATGTTGTGCCGTTTTAGACAGGGACCGAAAACGCGGTCCGGTTTTGGTTTAGTTCTGCGTGAGAACAAAATGATATATCAAGAACGGTTCTATTAAAGAACCAACGGTGAACAGAAGTATTGAGAGCAATTTGAACGGGAACAAACTAAGAACAAAAGGTGCGGGAACGTTTTCATAGAGAACGTCATGCGAACCGAAATTTCGGGAAAGTTCTCAAGAAGAGCAGAATGAGAACGAAACATTCGGGAACGTTTTCAATGAGAACAAATATATCGACAACGTTTTCAAGGAAGATCAAATAAGAACAAAAGTCTGAGGAACGTTTTGTTAGAGAGCAAAACCGGAAAAACAGTTTTGACAACTTAACGTTAAGAATGGCAGGGACGTCAGCGTGTTTATATGAAAAATCGTTTGAATGGGGACCACGACTGTTAATTCTAAGCCAGAGGAAAGCTGGATCATTTCAACTTCCAGATCGTGCATCATTAGGGTGAACTGTCCATTTTTGGAACAATTTTTCACTTTCTGTGCGAAGAAGAAAAAAAAACAAAAGTTCGTGTCTAGTCAGTTCTTTTCTGATTAATTTTAATGTGCAAACATTCGTGGTTTTAGATATCCCTCCATAATTCATAGAGATACCCTCTGACAAAACCAACAGCTATGGCTGCGAGCATGTGCCACAGAGTGTGCTATTTTAAAGCTTATGAGATGAATAATTCAGTAAATCCTGTTCCTTTGGAAAGAAAAATTACCTTGACCTTTAAAATGACTTCAAAAATAGGTTTTAAATTTAAATTTTTTGGACTGAAACCAGTCTGTAATGTACTTTTTAAAAACTTTTAAATAGTTCGCTGTTCTTGTCTCAATGAATCCATTTCCATGATTAAAAAAAAAAAACAAAAAACGCATTAAATTTTTTTTTTCAAAGTCCATAGCATGTTATTTTTTTTTTTTTTTGGAAGAGAAGGTAATTTTTCGTTCAAAAATTAAATTTTTGTCTTTTTTTACCTACAAATAGTTCGTGATGAATTAAATATAAGAAGGATATGCATTCCTTGACACCAGAACAACAAAACATTTATTTAAAATTAAAAAAAAAAAAAAAAAATTGCGGACTGGTTTCAGGCCAAAAAAAAAAAAAAAAAGTTAAACCCTTCTGCCTTTAAAGGTCAAGGAAATTCTTCTATCCAATAAGAGAATTTTCCCTGATTTTTATATCTCAAAAGCTTTAAACTACCGTTACATATAGTTCGGTATCTATTTTCGTTCTAGGGAGATCTGGTGTTGTCTCCGTTCTCAAAAATAGAACACTGTGTGCCGGTTGGCGAGCTCTTTTGCTTACTTCAAGGACTGCCAGAGAGAGATTTTCAGATTATGCTGAGGCCGATAATTAGGTAACGCCGACGGTTCTAAATTCTAAGAGCTGGTAGTCCTTTGTTTAGATTGTAAGGAATGCGAAAGAATAAGGCCCCAGGCAGTGAAGAAGCGAAATGATATTATGGATTGTAAATAAATAATATTATTGGGTACCATAAATATCTTAGACATTATGTGAAGTAAATTAGCTTGCTATTGAAATTTATACGTATGCAGTTGAATACTACCCGCTGAACTGGACAATCTCTGCCGAATAAATCGTTTGGAACCAGCATAGCCACGGGACAAGTGTCATAGACGGCATTCATCGCACAAGCTTCCATCATTTCTGTACTGTCTAAATTAGCCTTAGCATGCTTACGATTATCATCGTCCTATTCGATGAGAATAACTATTGCAACTCGTCCCCACCTCTCAGCCATGGCTTTCATGAATGTAACCTCTGTGGTTCAAAAAAGGAAATCTGTAGAAATGAAGGCCGACCCAGCCATAATTGGAATTTTGTTGTCAGATAACTGTTTGCAGTATACATAAGTACAGTGGCCCAAATATAAATTGGAATTCTTTTTTTTTGTTTATTTGATGTTTATAACTAATTTTTGGGTTTTTTTTTTCGCCGATGGTGTTTGGCCTATTTTAGCCACTTGAAATTTACACATAATTAAACTAAAATTGAATGAGCTACAAAACAGCATACCCAGAATTTTTTACAAAAACTCGGATTAAAAAGTTAAAAAAAATTATAAAAAATTAAAATTTAAAGGTTGTTTGATAACACTGGTCTACAAATTTCAACTTTTTTTCTGCGAATAAGACGGGACCTGGTGTTTCTGAACGGATTTTTCGTGCTGAACACGAATCCGGGGTCAAAAATGTTCCATCACGTCACGTTTTCGAGAAAAAAGGGGTTGAAACCCCTAAAAA